GCATTCCTCTGAGATTGAGATGGTGTATTCCTCCAGTTGTTGTACAAATCGGTCAATACCGATTGTTGGAGATGGCGTTTCCTCCACAACATGCAGAGAATTGCCACACACACCCTTTGCGCAAACACCATGCACAATTGCACTTCATGCATAAAAAGAACTTCAGCCTTAAGCAAACAGCCTTGCAATTCAGCAACGCCTGCCTTTGCGGGCGTGCCAGCATCCCCGTCCTGATCACACGGGAGATACTGTCCACACCCGCAAAACAAACATCACTCAGGCGGTCTTCTTGCTCTTGAACACAATTCAAACACTTTTTTGGAGAACATATCACTTGGAGCCATGATGATGGGGCAGCTGCCGCCCCAACACAGCGGATCCACACATCTGTGCACATTGCCCTGGACCTGACACCTCATCTGCGCAGTGGCGCAAGATGCAAACTACTGGAAAGATCTGCACTATTCCAGTCATCCCCCAAAGGATGAATCATGAAGGCAAATCTTCAATGCTGGGTCTACGCCATGCGCCGAACAATCCAGAAGTGTCTGGAGGCCGGCGCATGCAGGCCGCCATCATTCAACCCGGAACCCCGACCAGTCGGTTGGTCTCGCCTGTCTCGCCGTCTGGTGGCAAGCCAGGTTTGACCAAGGGGGGTTCTGTCCCGGGTCGAACAGATGTCGCCTGCGGACTTGGAACTTTTCTTGGAACGACTAGATGTCGCCCCAAGCAACTCGGGTACAGCAAGGTACGACAGACGACGTGGCGTATGAAACACCCTGTCATCCATTGTATTCAAGAAGATTCTGGAAAATTCAAGACCTGAAAGAAAAAGGAATTTTTGAACAGAAATGTCTGTAAGGAAAAAAATACAAGTTTCCCAAGAATCCACCAACAAGCCAGCCCTGGAGATAGTGATCTCCAGGGCTCATTCTTCCATGGTGAATCAACCCTGGAATCAAAGGAACCTAACTGGACTTTTTCCAAAAAAGGTGAAGACCTGACTGACATAAAAAGGAAGATTGAGGTATTGACCTCAGGCCCCCAAAGGCCAATTGTGTTTACCACTTTATTTGATTTATTGAAATCAAGCTTTGCCAGTGAGGCTATTTAGCCCCTGAAAAACCTGATGCAAGTATAATGGACATGCTGACAGGGGCAGGAGCATCCATCAGCAACATTGCCAAATCCAGGTTTTTAGCAGAATCAATCAAATTCCTAGGACATATTGTGGATAAAACCGGCACACATCTGGCAAACAAACATCTCCAGGCAGTCAAAGCCTTCCTAGCTGAAGCCAGGGACAACTAGGCAAATGCAATGATTCCTTGGACTAGCTACATATTACCTATGCACATATGTGCCAACAAACTTTGCAAACCTAGAAAAAGTCCTCAGGCTCACAATACCAGTGAAGCCGGTGACCACCCTCCATGCAGTATGCAGCCAAAGCAGAAGAAGCATTTGAAAGCTTGAAAACCGCAATTGCCAATGCGGCCAGGCTGGAACGGTTTGAACCAGCGTGTCCCAAAATCCACTGGCAACGGCCATTGGGGCCATCCTGGTGCAGTTGGACAACCAGGGCCAACTGCATATAATGGAGTACGCAAGCCAGCGGTCCTCATCCTGGCAGAAACTCACTTCTCTAATACACAATGCAAACTACTAGCACCAGTGTGGGCTACAACCAAGAAGTTCCACCACTACGTCAAGGACAGAGACTTCAAAATAGTTACAGATCACAAAGCACTATTAGGAGAACTATCATGCAGACAGCAGACTGATCAGTCTGAAACTCAAGCTGGAATACTTCCAGTATATGCTAGTACACCAGCTGGGAAAAATGCTGACAGATGCCCTCAGCCAGATCCAACTGAACTCTATCCAACTAAAAGAAATACCAATAACAGAGGAGCAATCCTGGATCATAATAGAGGAATACCACATCAAGATGGGGGTACCGGGTCATCCGCCAGTCAATAAAATCATGGTTGCGCACCTGCAGGTCTTCAAGGACTGGTTGGTCTAACTGCCAGCCAGGGCAAATCTTGGCCTTGCCAATCCCCAGTCCACCAAACCGCCATTTGGTCACCCCATTGTTGGGTCACCCAAAAAATTTGGTGACAAGAATCATGCTGATTATTTCTAGAATTTAATGAGCAGAATGGTATCCTACCACAGATTATTTTTTTTACAAAATGTCATCTTATAAAAATTTTCACAAAAAGAAAAACTCATCAAACCCAACCTAACTTAACCTAACATATCCTAACCTAACCTAACCTAAACTAACATAACATAAACTAACCTAACCTCACCTAACCTAACATTGCTGAAATTTTGAAAAAAAATCTGTGGTATGATACCATTCTGCTCACTGAATTCTGAAAACAAAAATCTGCATGACTCTTGTCACCCAATTGTTTGGGTGCCCGGACAATTGGGTGACCAAACTGCAGTTTGGTGGGCTGGGGATTGGCAAGGCCAAGAACTGCCCTGGCTGGTGGTTGGACCAACCGGCGCTTGACAACCGGCAGGTGCGCAACCGTGATTTGATTGACTGGCGGCTGACCTGACACGCAAGATGGGACACCCAAACTGGTAAAAGATATTTCACCAACTTTGCCACCAACACACATGGCCAACATTGCAAAAGGGCATTTTTCTTATGTGGCAGCCTGCAAGAAGTGCTTTACATTCAATCCAGCTATGTCATGCATAGGCACACAGCTCAAACCCATCCCAACGGCAGATACACATAACCAATTAGGAATATATTTCTGCTGGGGACCATTCCCTCCCTCCCAACAGGGAAACAGATATGCACTATAGTCGCAGTCAATTATCATTCAAAACAAGCAGTGCTGGCCCAACCCGTTAAACGTGCAATGGTAAACGCGCTCTGTGCTTTCCTTGTGGACGTCTTTGTTCAACTCTGGGGTTCTTTGAATTATACACTTGGACGGAGCAGCCGTGTTTGGATCAGCAGCATTTCAGTGCTTCATCAAAGCCAACCAAATACAATCTCACATAGCCCAACTGTACCACCCTGAGGGGAATGGGGCATGTTAAAGGACAATTAAGTCTCTGTCCATCATCCTGATGGCCAAAACTGCACCCAGCCCAACACTGGGGGATACCGTCATCCATGAAGCAACCCTTGTATACAATTGGACGCCGCATTTGACCACTGGACTCCTGCCAATTGAGCTTTGGCATAAAAAGCCAATACCCACCCCAGCATGCAACTTAAAGTTTGACACGCCACAACAAGATATAACGCAGCAGCAGCTGCATAACGTGCAGCAGATGCAAAGCAAACACCAAAGCCACTATATACCTGCAGCAGGCCAATAAATGCAGAAATCCTCTCTTTGCCATATAGGCCAATTTGTATAGCGCTCTGGCCGCAACTAAAAATGACAGAGCAACACGCCGCCATGTGCAGATTCCTCCCCAAAAGCTTTGGCTCCTTTAAGATCCTTAAAGGGAAGGCCACATATAAAATTGTGACACCCCAGGGCCCTTGCACTGCCAATGCGTTGGAACTCCAACCCTACTCCTTTCCAATGGCCTTGCCTCCAACCTGCCCCAGCCAACTTTGGCCAGTTCCTAACCATGAGCCTTCTCCTACCCCACAATAAAGATACCAACAACAAGGATCCCCAGCCCAGATTCTGATTTGATACCAGATTGGACAATGCAGATTTGGCCCGTATCTCCCCAGAGGACCAACCAGCTAAAACCATGCCCCATTCTGTGGCAACCACCCGGAGCGTCAAACAAAAACAACAATGGCCAACCACAGTCCAAGTCCCCACAACCAGCACAAAGCCCAATGCTCAACCAGCTGGAGCCCAACAAGGAACCAGCCATTGCCAATCTTGATCAAGGACCTGAACCTCCCATGCCAGCCCAAACCAGACTCCAACAGTGGCCCAATATTATAACAACCATTGCAAAAGACGTTGGTTCCCGTTGACGAGTTCATCATAACCCAGCTTGTCCGCATCTTCAAGCAGTTCATCATCCACCACCAAAGAGGAGAAGGACATCAAGCCCAAATGGGCCAACCTGGCCACAGGCCTCAATGGCCAGGGCCCCATCACCAACAATGAATACTGAAGAGGACCAGCCCAACAACAAACCAACCCCCCCCCCCTAGGGCAACAACGACGCCCTCAATGATGCTGCCAACAGCCTGCGCGCTTCCAATACCAGTGGCCTTTGCCCCCTGAATTTTTTTGCTGTCAGCAGCATCTTCTTTTTCAAAGGGGGGAGAGTAATGGCCAGCATCACAGATGGCCATACTGTCCCGCGCAACAGGAAGCACCCGCGTATTTGACTCATTTTCATACCTTTGTACCAACGGTCCAATCATACAGAGCCTATATAGCTGATGCAAAAACCACACGCCTTGCGTCAGCCGCAACTAGTCCGTTGAGTATAGAGGCCTCACTCAGCCTCATTCATGTATGTGCCTCCGTTTGGATCAGATCATTACTATTGTGTGAAAAGAATAACCTGCTACCGGAATCAAAGTACAAACTGTGTTATTGCTCCAAGTATAGTGTGTGTGAAGTTCTTAAGCTACAGAATCTATCCTGATATCTGAAGGCATGTGTATATAGACTGCAAGCAGCTAAAGTCTTACTGTATTAATCCAATTGAAGGATCCCTCCATTTGTATTCATTGATGAAACAAATATTGTGCCCCTGCATTGGAATAACACTATACTGCAGATTCAATCACAGAATTATGAGGAAGTATAGGTTTAGTCTAGTTCTAGCCATATATAGAGTCACTGCACACCACACATATGATCCTGGTTCCATTCCAGGTCAAGATAGGTAAATCACAGCTATCACAAATGGGTAATTGCACACAGCACACACATGCACACAATCACACACCAATAGCCAGGCCAAGCAGTCATAGGTTACATCATGCAGTGCAAATTATGCCCCAGAAAAAGTTCCAAGTACAGTATGTAGAGTAAATGAGGTGAGAAATAATATTTTGCATTTCCCCAGCAAAAATTTTTAAAAGTCCCTTCCTGGGCTTCATTTTGCCAAATGAATGCAATATATTGTACAACAAAATTTAAATTTCCTTCAAGGGAAATCCAGGGTTACTCAGGGTTATTACATGCAGTTCTATAGGAGATTTGAAGGAGTTACAATAAGAGGGTTACAAAATCAGCACAAGAGGTGCACAGGAGGTACACATCTGGGATATTCTGGGTTACACAAGCAACACCAAGGCTACTGGAGTTACACTTGTGATGCAAAGAATAAGACACACCAAGGTTACAGTTGGTGCACTTCTGTTATACCTTCCAGTCAAGCCAGACTTGTGCACCAAGTGTAGCCCTGGAATGGTAGCAAAATTTTATCTACATGCAGAGGTGCATGCTTGTAACCCCCAGAATATAGCCCATGTACACCAGTTTTGAACCCAGTGCGCACCAGCAGTTATTGTGGGATCATCACACAAGAATAGCTCCCCGTCAGCACTGGGGAGGTTATATTACAATAAGTCTTTTATCATCTGTCTTTTCATCATTTTGTACAGTTTTTAAAGCCAATCCACTATAAAAGTGTCAGTCTGGAGTCTTGAACCATGCACCTGCATCATGCAATGCTGGATGCAACGCATTTTTTTCTTTTTTTTTACCAAGCAGGATCCTGTTGGAAGTTTGCTATATACAGCAAGATTTTATATACTCTACAATACAAAGAATGGTTACCCCAATAATTAGTGGCATGCATATATATAGTCACCATTAATTATTTTCACTGTACTGTATATAGCTGCGGTTTTATTGCTGGTGAATCCTGTATATTTCAGGCATATTCTGACCTTCTATTTCGAGCTGACGGAGGACTACTTCAGAAGGTTTATTGATGCTGACTTCAACACCTTGACGGGGTACCGCATTCAAGCCCCTTACGGATCAAGTGCACCTGTCGTGGTTTCAAATCGGAGTGCTGTGATTCCGTTTCCTGGAGCAATTGCGGGAGATTATTCAAACGTGAACTCGTATTTCAATAACAGTTTCGCAATCATTGAATTGCCCGCGGAGAAGGCCTTGGTTCCAGGGAAAGGCGTTGGGTTCATCCGCGTCTCAATCGATGTGGACGGTTCAATTCTTGCAGCCAACACCAGACAAATTTCACTTTTTGCCTATCGAAGTAAGTACAGTACAGTATATATTTAAACATATGTATATACAGTACATGTTGTGTATGATGGTATCTAAAATAAATGCATGGTATATAGTGAGACGAGGTCTCTGCTGGCAATTAAGGAAGGAATGCAACACTATATAGTTGGAGATATTCACAAGGGCTGTATTCTGTTCATCATCAGGAGAGCTCACACAAATTGATGAAATGTTGCGTTCAATTTGCGTCACTTATTAGTGCGTTAAAAAGGAGATGTGCTCCAATCGGTGGCTGGCGAAGAGACTGACAACTGCTGCCCAGCTGTCTGTGCTTGCCTGGCATGGCTGCTGCTTGGTGGCTGTATGTACAGTATATCGAGAGAAGAGAAAGGATGATTGTTGTAGGAATATAGGGACTCCGACACACGTATTCTTCCAACTAGTCATCTATATATATTTCAGCACCACACAGAGTTAAGGTCAGAATGATGAAATAGTAATGGCCAGCGACCATTAGTCCCGCGCGACAAGAGAAACGCGTACTCGACTGTAACTTTGTTATGACGTCACACCCAATCAGGGTACGCCGGCACAATGGCCCGCGCGCCAGCCGTTGGCCATCTTGTACAGTGAGAGGCCAGCCCAGCCTCATTCCATCGTGAACCTCCAAGCAGTGCGGATCTCTACCTTTGTGTGTGCAATAGTGTACATGTGTGAATAGACTGGCATTAACTAAACCAAGTGTCAAGTCATTCCAAGTCTACCTTAATCTAGTGTCGACTTATAGTTACATCTAGGGTAACTCTTAATAAATGGTAGATCAACACTGGTCAATATAGTCAAGAGCAAAGTGACGCCAGCAGTCAGTCTGCAGCAGATTCTTTATTTTGTTTAATTGAATCATTTTTAAAATTTTCCTCTCATGTTGGTTTCTCAAAATCATGGTGTGCATCATGCTGACAATCAACTGAATATGTTGGTCATTTGCGTATCACTCCACTATACTGTATAGGCAATATAAAAACTCATTTGGATTATGCTATAATTTAAAAATGAATTACGCGGTACTCATATACTGTGCTTGCTTTTTTAATGAGTATACATTTGAAAAATTTAGGGCCATATTTGCACAATCAGTGAATGGCCTGCTGCCTTTTATTGTGAACAGAAGAAAAATGTCACCAAGAAATAGGGGATACCGAAACAAGGAAACAAGGAAGCGGTTTGCATCTCCTATTTCGTATATATTGGTGGTGCATGCCCAACTACATGGGCGTTACAGAACGACCCATGCATTTGCATCCAAATAGGCACAAATTACTCCATGAGTCATTATATAGAAGCCCTGCAAATTTCAAATGGTTCAAATCCAATTTTGGTGCTCCCCTAATATATACTGTATATATGATGATGGTGGCGCCTTTTGCTGTGCCGTGAACAACCTGCACACGTAGACGCGGTCGTGCCCTGATCATCTGAACACATACTTTTTTAAAAACCTCAAGACAATTCCATAGAACCAGCTGTGTACATAATGATGAGAAGATCTGTGCGCGGCTCTGTCACACGATTTCTCGTTTAAATCGCATCATATCTAGGCTGAAAATGTCAGAGCCGCAGCATGTCCCTATATATAATAGCTTATTCCATCCTGGGCTATGAGACAGTATAAATCCCATATATATATATATATTGCACAGCCGTATATATATATAGATATTTGGCTCAAACAGAAGAATACATTATTGACATTTATTGCGTTCAGGATCACTATTTTGGTCCATTAATCTATCGATGACATATTTCCGCCCTCTACTGTATTGATTTACTATTATTGCAGGCGATGCCGATACCATGCGAAAAGTGAAAGAAGCAACTGCCAGCGGAACGCAGTGTCTTCCAACGTCGCTGTATCTTATTGCCGGGGGCAAGTTGGACACCACGTCTGCTGCTTGCATCTCCATGACCAAGCAAGCAGCGTTGTGCGAAACGGTATGGCGTATATCCGAGATGCGGACGTAATTGGTGCATCGTCAAGAGTGTCCCCAAGTCGAAATGTCCCCCTATATAATGAGTTGTCCAGTCTTGTTTTCCCATAGACTTACAATATATAATTTTCAACCCTTGGACGGCGGAGGGTTCTTTCCCATAGCGGGACGGAGTTGGATTATTTACGAATCCTCCCGCATTTTCACTTTTGGGAAAGTCACCAAAACCCTTCCAGGTGGGCTGAGGCAAAGTCGGGATTAATCCACAAAAAAAAAAAGAAAGCCGGT